TTCGCTCGCGAAGACTGGCCATTATTATTATTATTATTATTATTATTATTATTATTATTATTATTATGCAAGTACAAGATTAAATTACCAATCATTATGAAAAATGTCAAATTAAGATGACCTTCCTTCTCTGAAAAGGCTTTTATTTTCTACCTTCCCTTTATCCTCTTTCCCTGCCCCCCCTCTTAACTCCAGATTCAAGGGTGTCTAATTTGTTTATAACTCCTGTAAGTAACCATGTATGAAAGACTTGAATGAGGAATATGGGCTTCTTTTTTCATTTGTGTACTGTTTGTTTAGGAAAGTTGAATACAGCAGAGTTCTTGTTTCACAGTTGTTTACTAGACTAACTAATACATGTTCAAAGACTATTCTTCATTTTCTACACATGAATAATAATTTTTAGAAAATTTTGTTGCCTAAACCCAGAAGAAAACTAAAGTAGCTTGCCAGAGCCTTTGATACGTGTGTTAGCAAATGACGATGGAGTTCAACAAAAATCCATTTAACTCTTGTTACTTTTTAGTTTCCAAAGTGTTGAAATCATGGAGATAGATTTCACTTTTGCTTCCAGCTTGCAGAGGTTGGCAGCTGTTTCTGTGGCTGCAGTCAGTGTAAGAGAGGGGGAACTCCATGCTGCAAGCAATCTGCTGCAGGGGCTTGAGATTTGACAGGAAGGTGTTTTGAAATTTTGAGGACATGATGGGAATCAAGTGACTGCCTAAAACAAAATGGTAAATAAATGTTTCCTAAATGTAGAATGTAAGCATTGCAAATAGTTTCTAAATGTCATAATGGAAATGGCTTTTATGTATACCTTAATGGCAGAATATTAAGGTTTGAAGATAGAAAACTTTAACATACCACAAAATGAAATTTGATCAAATTGGATCTATTGAACAATCCTGTAGTGAGGAATCTGTTGTTCAGGTATAGCTGTTTCTTCCAGGATTCTTTCAGGATACTCTTGACTGTTCAGAACATAATAGTGGGTTTATGGATAGACTTTGTTACTGCAGTTCAGCAGTAGAAAGAGAAATATTTAAATTCACTGATTTTAGCAGCTGTTATGGTCATCAGTATAGCTGTAGATAATTGCTGAGCTTCTGGGTTTAATGCTTTTTCAAGTGAAGGCATTACAAGGAGGAGTCCTCAGAAAAAGAGTGTATATCAGGAGTTATTTAGAAGTAGAATTTCCTGATGACCTTGTGACTTGACAAGCCTCTGGTGAATTTTGGCTGTAGTTTCAGAATTTTGAACATTGCAAAGGTCACTGGGAAGTGCAGAAATTGATAGGTCAGTACTAAGTAAATCAGAGGTGAATTTTTGTCATGCGTGTTCCAGACGTATAGCAATTCTGTGTCAACAACCCACCCACCTCTATTTTATTCATCTGAATATTGGTGTCTAATATCTGTCTTCGAGGTCTGAGCAAGGTTGCATCCCACAGTATGCTGCTGACTGTGTTTCTGTATTTTTCTTTCAAGCTGGGACTCATTAGCAGAGTGACTGAATCAGTGAAAAACATTGTACCAGGATGGTTACAGAAGTATTTCAATAAAAGGGAAGATAAATGTGTAGATACAAATGAATCTCCAAACCAGGAAGAGAATCCAGTGAACTATCACGATGATTATGCAAATGAAGATGCTACGGTAATTGATGGGAGAGTCACGCCTGAATCAGCAAGAATTAATTTGGAAGGTATGTGAAATATCATTTAGTATTCTGACCATCTGTATTTATTCACAGATTTCTAGTTCTGAATCTAGATTTCTAAGAGAAGCTGGAAGGAGCCTTTTGACAAAATTAAAAAGACGTCACAAAATAAACCAAAAAAACCCAAAACAAAATCCAGCCAACAAAACAAAAACCCCAACCAAAAAAAAAAACAAAAACAAACCACAGAAAGCAAACACATAGAAAAAAATCAAAAAGTGTTTTTGAAACTGTCTTAGATTCACACTACAATGTTTAAATTGCAAAACATACTAGAGGTTGACTTGGAGCTCTTGGAAGTCATCAGTTAACTTCAGATAGCCAACTAGCCACATGCAAAATATCAATAATATTCATTCACTGGGGTGCTGATTTGCATTTTTTTTTACAGGATCTGGAATGAAAGTTTATCTAATTGCCTACTGTAACAGAAACATTAATTTGTTTTGTTGTCCTCAGAGCAAAAGGCCAGATGCTAGAATGCCAGAGGAAAATAACTTCTCATGTCCTGATTTATTTTTTTTTCCCTTTGGGCTTCTTCAATCAGTTTATTCAATTTCCTTATTGGTTTAATGGAGATCTGGAGAACTTTGTTTGTGACATTGTTCTTTTTAAAATATTTTGTAACATTAAGGAGTTGCCTGGCTAACATGGAGTCTTCGATAACTATTTGGCCCCTTGGCAAAGAAGTTTGCAACCCCTTTACTATATAAAAGATTATTCTGTATTTTATATCTCTGCCTCTCACTTGTTTCTGTAGGACTCTGAAAATTTGCATATGCTCCCATTTGAGTTTCTCTTAAATTAGCACTTTTGTGGAACTCAGTTTTTGATAAGGAGACAAGTTTTGTCTGACCACTTGTACATAACCATCTGCGTGGAACGTCAGTTGTTTCTGTTGTTGGCAGAACAAAAAGTAATGAGGAAATATCTATGTCACCAATGTCATCTAATTGTAAATAAGGAACGTTATTGCTCTCTGTGTAGCTGTAGCTTGAGAATAAGTTTGTGTAAAGGAATAGAGAAGGTCTTCATGAAGGAGGAACATGTGTTGGCTTTCCTGAAGAACTGTGTGAAAGGACCTTTCAGTAAGAACAGCTGCACAGCAAACTTTCTAGCTCCAGAAAATCGGGAGCAGATGGGACACCCTAGAACTCTTAGTGGCTGGTGTTGCAGTCTGTGGATGTTGTAGCCTAATCTTTCTTTCTATAGTTAATAGTAAGTTTTTTTATTATTACTGGTATTTTTTTTAGAAAGCCTGTTTCTTCAACTCTGAGATACCAGTGTGCTAGAGCTTGTATTCCTTTGCTTGACCAGCCTTCAGTCTGATAACAGACTTTCTTTATCTCAAACAAGACTGTCCTGAAAATCTATCAGTCCTTTGGAGAATTACCCGCTGCAGTGGTTATGTAGATTAAAGTTGCTAGTTTGAGCTTCAGTGCAAATACCAAGAGGGTAGTTACTCAAAATCCTGTTCATACCCAGAATTCCTGGGAAAGACTGTAGATTTACATAGCTATCAGGCAAGATAACCATTAATAGCTGTTCTGTCCATGTGGCAAGTGGGAGCTGTGAGACTACTTTTTGGAGGACACTGGCAGTGTTTACAGACTCCTTTCGTGAGGAAAAAATGCCCATCTTTCAACCAAGGCCATGTTGCTTACTTGTCCTTTGTGCCAAAATCTCAAAAATCAATGGAGAGGAGAAATGTTTTTGTCTGATGTGGCAGAATTTGGAAGGGGTGATGATGACACCAGAACACTCGTATTTCAAGCAGTATTGCTGTTGCTGTCAGGCAGATGAAACCCTATCTGGGTGAAGAAGTTAAATTCGGCTTCTCTATTTTTGTGCTTAGAACTTGGCAATAACATTGCTGTTGATAGAAAACAGGTTTTGGCTTCTGTGAGCTTGTCTATAGGAAAGCTGATTGTCTCGCTGTTCTTGTTTAGAACCATCCACGAGTAGGTCTGCACTGAACTTCTCAGATGTGTTAACAAGGCCCTCTCTCCATCGGAGCCATTTGAACTGTACTGTGTTGGATCCCACAGTACCACACTGTCAGCCCTCTACATCTTCCACACTTGGCATTGGCAGTCCTGGACTGTCTCTGGTAAAAGAAATAAAAGATTCTACCTCTCAGCATGATGATGATAACATCTCAACAACCAGTGGCTTCTCCTCTAGAGCATCTGATAAAGGTAACTTTTGTGTTCTCTAATTGAGTTGTTTGGTAACATGAAGTACTTTGTATTCTTTAATATTTCACATTGCCTTAGTAAGTAAAGTAGGTGAATGTCAGCTTTGGATGTTAGAATTAAATTTCATTTTTAATATATTAGAAGCATATAATCCTGTCATCTTTTAAATAGAACCATGCTTTGGAATACAGTTATGAGTCCCTGATGTTCTAAAGAGTTGGTGCTGATAAATACACTTTTAGCTGGATTATCTGTAAATCTTGAACTGGGATAGTAGGAGCTGAAGATGATTTGCTGTAGCTTGACAGCTAGGTTGACCTAGAGGAGGAGTTACCTTGAATATCTAACTCGCAGCTGGTTAAATGTGAGTAAATGTAGGTGACAGATGAAAACACAAGATGTTTTCATGTGTGTTGTTTTTTTTTTTTTTTTTTTTTTTTTTTTTTTTTTTTTTTTTTTACCAGGAGTCAGTAATGGAACTATTCTGATTGAAAAAGTCTGGGCAGCTTTTTTTGCTTTTCTTGGTAGAAGGCATCAGTTGTCAATACTGCCATGTCTTTTACTGAATTCAGTAAGGAATGTACACAATTTTAAAGTTAAAAAAAAAACTCTAAACATTGTATTGAAAAAGATGGGGACCTAGGTGTCTCACTGAGAAAGGGCAAACAGCAGGTTTGCAAGTTTTTCTAATCCCCTATATAAGTGGGAATAGAGTCATGCTCAATCAGTTCTCTGGAGACCATAGTTTTACAGTTCAGTTTGTATTGCCTGGGCTTAGCAATATAACCTGTTTACTAGGATGCAGTTCTGCCCTATGGTGGCCTGCAACCCTTTACCAACATAGGAAAAACGTTGTACCATTATAGATGAACCAATGTTTATGCCATTCCATTTTATTTTACCATGAAAGAAATAAAAATAGAATTGCTCTGCCCTGGAAGCATGCTATTAACTTGTGCGTGCTTCTGAAAGATTACTGAAAGGTAATGTATTTGCAGTTCTCTGAACAGAATTCAGGTTCAGAGTTGATACTTGGTTTTCATACCATATGTGAAACTAACCTGTTTGAAGAACTCTGAAGCTTAGGGTGCTGGAGAAGTAAGTATAAAGGGACATTTTCATTCTGTAAGACTTACTTTTTCATATTAAAGAACTCTGATAAAATATCAGACATAATAAAGATAAAATATCTTTAATATTACAATTCTCTATGTATATGAGGCATTTACATAAAGCATGTGTCATTTTGGCAGATATCACAGTTTCAAAAAATACTTCAGCACCACTGCTCTGGTCCCCAGAGGCTGAAAGATCTCATTCCCTCTCACAGCATCCTGCATCTAGCTCTAAAAAACCTGCATTCAATTTATCTGCTTTTGGATCTCCCTCTCCTGTAAGTACTGCACAGTGTTAAGTTTAGTCAGTTTGAATGTGTAGCCATTTTTACTAACAACTTACCATAACACCTTTCTGTAGTCACTTGGAAACACTTCTGTCTTTAAGACAAGGCAACTTGGGGATTCTCCATTTTACCCTGGAAAGACCTCGTATGGTGGTGCAGCTGCAGCAGCAAGGCAGACAAAAGTGCAGATTTCTGCTTATCAGGTATGAAAATAGTAGTGTGGTGTGGGGGAAAATGTAATCAAAGTACAGAAGGGGTAGCTCTCCCTAAAAAGCTCTGAGTGGGGAACTGAACATGAAAAATACGGAAACAGTTCCTCTTTTGCCCTCTCAGCCTACAAGAGTGAAAAAGAGGCATCTTTGTTTAAATTCTCAGTTCGTGTAGAAATATTTACCATAGTGCACAAGAATGACAGTAGCATCTTAGTTGCTGGGTAGTTGTTTGTTGTAGGGATTTCCTCTGTTGTTACCTCTTCAAAAATTTCCGTTTTCTGCCATTGTCTGCCTTTGACTGTATTATGTTAAAGTAATGTGTAAATAAATACTACGATGGCATAACTTTGAAAACTTATATTTATAGTAGCAAAAGTTGATGCTTGTTGGTAGATCCTACGCTCTTAACTATGAATATACTGTGTAAAACTGTGCATTCTTTAATATAGTAATATTCAAAGGGCAAATTTGCTCATCCTTTGCTCTTTTGTTACTTAGAGGCATGCAGTCCTCAATGCAATCTCAAGAGAAACAATAAGTCCCCTCTATTTTACTATCATTCTCTATATCATAGCTCTTGAGAAGAGCTACTTGCCCCAAAGTATTCTTTGTGTTCTAAAATGAACCAGCAATTAAAAATCCTTCCTACCTTCAGTAGCTAGAGTTGAATCTAAAAAGAAGTAAAATCTAATTTGATTGGAATGTGTTGTGTTTAAGTCAAAAAGATCTTTATTACAAAAAGAAATAAAAAACCAAAAGAAACTATATTTAAGAAACTGGCAATTAGAGTTTGCTGGACCTATTCTGGCAGTCTGTTTCTTTTCTGCCATGGAACAAGGGGACTTACAAGTTCCTGACTTAGGGGAAACCTTGAGAATTTGCGGTTTGTCCGGACTTGGCGTTGAGTCAAACTTCAGAACACTTAAAACTTCTAGGAGTGTAAGATAGGAGCCCTCTTTGATCAGCTATTTTTATTTTTGCAAAAATAAATGTAGATTGTACTGAAAAGAGGAAGCAAATACCAGGCTTTTAAGGGAGAGACTAGCTTGCTTGTTGCTGCATGCTGTAGAGTAGAGCAAGTCTCACTTGTGTTTTTTATATGCTGTGATCTGCTTCCTGTCTTCACATAGCAGTGTGGTAAGCGTGATGTGGTTACATGAGAGGCTTAACGTAATTTTAAGGAAACCGAAAAGGGTAACACTGAAGTTTTTTTAACTTATGTTCAAAGTCATGTGGTACGAATAAAACATTTGTTTTTTCAATGTATCATGCTAAGATCTGTTACAGTTCAAATCAGATCTTTATCTGTTTAAGCAGAGTAAAAAGATCTTCAGTCAGTTGTAATCTTGGGGGGAAGGGAGGAAATGAGAGAAATAAAACTAGAAATTTCTGATGATGATTGTATGCAGTGATTTTAAGATGGCACACTTACACCATCATGAAACCCCGAGATCTGTTTTGTTACTGAAAGTGCTTTCTGCAGCACAAGCTTGCTTCAGTTCTGTTTACCTAATCACTGCTTCAGAGACTCTACAGGCCTAACATCTTCCATTTTATGACCTTTTAAATTTAAGTATTTCTTTCGTTGCTTTATCCTGCCCCGCTTAAACTTCTGTAAAGTCAGTAGTGTGTATTTTCTTCTTCGTGGCTTGAATGCTCTGTGAGTACATTTTTCTCTGTCATTATAAGTATTGGTTATGTCGTCATTGTATCCATAGGGCATAAAATACACATATGTTTAACTCAAAATCCAGCATCATAACATTGGCAATGCTAATTTTTCAGCCACCGTTAAAAAGACAAATGAAAGCTAAACAGGCAAATGTGCAATCCTACGGTGTGACAAGTTCCACAGCACGGCGCATCTTGCAGACATTGGAGAAGATGTCAAGCCCTTTGGCGGTAAATGGCACTCCTTTTCATGTTTTATTTCATGTGCTTGAAAAACATAGTAAATATGTGCAAGTATAGGATGAAGATTGTGCTTGTGTCATTGTTTAATTTACTGCACTGCTTTCTCAACAGGATGCTAAAAGGATTCCATCTTCTGTTTCTAGTCCATTGTCTTCTGTAAGTTGATCGCAAAACCCCCGTGTTTTTGTTAGATGGAACCCTCTTATGGGGAAAAAACGTTCACTAATATTTAGGCCTTTTTTTCCCCCCATAGCCTGTGGACAGGAGTGTGCTGAATATGACTAGCTTCCAATCCAGACAAAACCAGGTAAGAACCAGTAACATCTTAAGCTGAGATAGATAACTTTCTATATGTTATAGCTATCAGAAGAAATGTCACAAATCTCAATGAGAAGCGTACACATGAATTGAAGTTAATATTAGCATTGTGTGAATTATAGTGGTCTTGCCTACGTGGTAATAGCTAAAAATGTCTTTTCTACCCACACCAGATGAAGGACTGTGAAGATTACTCAGGTTGAAAATTCTGTTATATTTTGTGGTGGTGTATTGATATGTCAGTCAGGAACACCTTCTCTAGAACACACAAAGTAGTTTTATTTGGGGGCAACTTGGGGTTAAGTTCCATGTTAATATTCCTGTTTACAAAAGCTTTTTATTGCAGAAATGATCAGAAGTAGAAAAATATTGATTGAATCAGACCTTGTGCAGGTTTCCATGTTCATTTTGAGAAAAAAATAATACTTATGTTTTTTATAACTGCTCAGAGGAAGGAGAAGGAAAATGGTTAAATGTTGTCGCTTCTGTTAATTTATGTTCCTAAATTCCTATTTGGAGGTAGCACTGAGTTGGTGATAACGCTGTGGTAAATCATTATTTCCTTGTTTTTGTTAAAAAAAAAGTTGAAGTATCAAGTTTGTTAATTGTAAAACCCGCAAAAGGTCACTTTAAGATCAGGCAACCAGAGGAACAAAAGTGTAGTTTTTCTTCCATGCAAACTTTTTGTCTGTTGTTGTAATGAGAAAGTGGATAGAATGTCTCAAGAAGTTTCTCTGCTAATAGCTTAATTAGAAGTATAATTAATTATGCGGTCACTTCAGAATTTATAAACATCTCAGAGTTCCTGTAGTTTCTTTGGCCATGTGCTAAATTACAAGAGCATTGAAAAGTAGAGCATGTAATTTCTTTACCAAAAATATTATCCAAATAATTGAAAACAAAGCCGATACAGATTCTCAGTTAAAATGCAGAACCACACCTGTGACAAGGCATTAAGAAAGATCTGCTGGATTTGCAGCGTAGCCCCTGACATCAGTCAGAAAGCGAATGTTGCGCACAGCTGCCACTGGGTAAAAATAGAGAAATTGTCTATTCATAATGCTAGAATTCATAGTTTGGCAGGGAAAGGGTAGCCCTTGATGAGAAGGGAGGAGAGGATTGTGTGCACCAAGGAGAGGGTTGTGTGTTTTCCTGCTAAAGGAAACAAGTGGTTGACATGGCACTTGAACGCTCAGGCAAAACTTTTGCAGGTATTCTTTTATTATGGTGTTTTTCTTATTTTGAGGGTCTGCACCAGAGAGAATAACTCTTAGCATATTGAACATGTAACTGGGTGACTTTGTTGTTGTTGTTGTTGTACATACTTGTCTAACTCATTTGATATCCTTCTACAACAACATCACCTGCCTGGCATGTGAAGGGAAGGCGGTGGATGTAGATTTTGAACTTTTTAAGGCTTATGATACTGTCTCTCACAGTATCCTTCTGGACAAGTTGTCCAAATGTGGGATGCGCGGGAGAAGAACTGGCTGAACAGCAGGATGCAAAGGATTGCTGTGAATGGGGTTACATCTGGCTGGTGACCGGTCACCATCTCTGTTCCTCAGGGCTCAGTTCTAGGGCCAGTGTGGTTCAGTATATCTGTCAGTGATCTGGAGGGAGTAGTTGAATGCCCCAGTATCAGGTTTGCTGATGATATGAAACACGGAAGTGCTATTGACTCTCTTTAGGGAGAGGAGGCTATGCAGGAGGATCTAGGTAGATTGGAGCATTGGACAGTGATCAGTCAGATGAAATTTAGCAAGTCCAAATGCCAGATCTTCATCAATGACATAGTGGGATTGAGTGCACCCTCAGCAAGTTTGCTGGTGACGCCAAGCTGAGTGGTGCTGTTGACACACCTCAGGGATAAGATGCTATCCAGAGGGACGAGGACAAGCTCTAAAAGAAGGGAATGTCACATGGTTCTGCACCTGGGTGAGGGCAATCCCCAGTTGCCCCATCAGTACAGGCCTGGGGGTGAATTGAGAGGTGATGTGCATTCTCAGCCCAGAAAGCCAGTTGTGTTCTGGGCTGCATCAAAAGCAGCATGGCCAGCAGGTCAAAGGAGGTGATTCTCTCCCTTGATCTCTGCTCTGGTGAGATCCCACCTGGAGTGCTGCATCCATCTCTGGGGGTCTCAATACAGGGACCTGTTGAAGCAGGTCCACTGGGGGGCTATAAAAATGGCCAGAGGGATGGAGCACCTCTCCTGTGAGGAGGGACTGAGAGCTGGGGTTATTCACCCTGCAGAAGGCTTCACAGAGACGTTACCACAATAAGCGTATAACCTTTCGGTATTTAAAGTGGGCTTAGAAGAATGATGGGGACAGATCTCTTGGCAGAGCCTGTTGCAATAGAACAAGGGGTAATTGTTTATCACTTAAAAGAGAGTTGATTTAGACTAGATATAAAGAGATGAGGATGGTAGAGCCCTTGAACAGGTTGTCCAGAGAGGTGTTGGATGCCCCATTCCTGGAAACATTCAAGGTCAGGTTGGATGGGGCAGGTGGGATACTGCTCCAAGGACAGAGTAATGTGGGCACAATGAGGGAGGAATGGCTGGAGAGCAGTCCTGCAGAAGGGGATCTGGGGGTGCTGGTCAGCAGTAGCTCAGTGTGAGCAGCATGTGCCCGGGCAGCCCAGAGGGCAAACCACATCCTGGGGTATATCGAACATGGCACAACCAGTGGTCAGGAGGGGGGATTATCCCACTGTTTAGCGTTGGTGTGACCTCACCTTGAGCACTGTGTGCAGTTCTGGACCCACAATTCAAGAAGGATGTGAAGGTCCTTGAATGTGTCCAGAGGAGGGCAACAAAGCTGGTGACAGGGCTGGAAAGCCTGTCCTGGGAGGAGCGGCTGAGGACTTTGGGTTTTTCTAGTTTAGAGAGAAGGAGGCTGAGGGGTGACCTCAATGGCTCTCTACAGCTTCCTGAGGAGGAGAAGTGGAGAAGGAGGTGCTGATCTCCACAGGATCCAGTGACAGGACACATGGCTGAAAGTTGCATCAGTTCAGGGCAAGGTTTAGACTGGACACTAGGAAGCAATTCTTTACTGAGAGTGTGGTCAGACACTGGAACAGGCTTCCTAGAGATGCCCCCAGCCTGTCAGTGTTAAAGAAGCATTTGGACTGTGCTCTTAACAGCATGCTTTCACTTCTGGTCAGCCCTGAAGTGGTCAGGCAGTTCATTGACCAGTCAGATGATTTTTGTTTGTCCTTTCCAGCTGAAAATACTCTATTCCAATTCTATTTGCTTTATATTTAATACCAACAGTGGACCATTCTTCACTCAAAATGGTTTTGTGAACTTAAATAAAGTACACTTTACTCAAGATTTTGAAATTAGTTTAATAATTTTTAGAATGAAGTAACTTTATACATAGAGCAACATGAATTTCATTAGCAAGAGTTTTGAGATACTGTGAAATTAAATTTGCATTGTAAACACAGTTTTCTGTTGATATTAATTTAAATAATAGCATGTATCGTAAATCTGATTATCCTGATCATCAAGACTGCAGATGATTTGTTAAATAGTGTAGCCTTTTGGGTTCTTTCTTCTTTCTCAATTCAGTTAAGCC